GCACATTGGGATGGTTGCTGAGCTTTGTTCAATGACTATATGTATCTCTTCAATGTATTGCACTATAATTATCTAAAATATAAGTCTCCTTTCTCCTCAGCAGCCAAAGAGTATGTGTGATGGATGGAGAAGGAGGGGCCACAGTTTAATGTGGTAGAAGCTGAAGCCTTTACGAGGACCTTTGCACAGCTAAAACTTTGTAGGAAAAGCAGCAACATCTTCAGGGGACAATACAGATCTGGGTGTTAAGGAAGTGCGTGCCCTGACCCCTGATTTGGTCGTGACTCGGGGTTGACAAGCCACATTTGTCTAACCTTACAAGTCTTACCTCTTCTCATGGGACATTGGGAGCATCTCTTTAATGATTACCCTGCCACACTAGCTGTGTGCTCTAATTTATTCCAGGTATGGCTGGACCTGAACACAAGCAAAATCTCTGGGAATTTGAGATGCTTAGCACCTGAAAATCTTACTTTGCTGTACAGAGCTAGAGTTCAGTATTCATGTGGCAAAATAGATCTGTCCTTCAGCTACTAAGATTTTATGAGAGGCTAAAACAGCAACCCTTGCTTTTCCCCTTAAATATTCTTCTCTCTATTCCATTATAATATAGGCCTCATACAAAAGCCACGAATATGTGTGTGCTTATTCTCAGCTGCCAAATTTGCTGAAGATGAGTAAGACTCACTTATTGCCCATTGAGTATTTTATTTTGGCAACAGCTTATTCATTTTTTAAAGGAATTATATATTTAAACTGATGAAAACAAAGCCTTGCCAGCTACGACTATAATACATTCTACTCATAGTAAATCCTGCTCTGGCATGTGTGGGCAGAGGCTTGTTCAGGGCATCTTCCCAAACATTGTCAGGTCAGAACAGGGACATTCAGCCTCTCTGAAGGACTGAAATCTGTACAAAACCCCACTGGCCAATCTTGTCCTTGCTCTGTTTTACCCATCAGTGGCAAGATAGTGCAAGAGCTTGGGATGTCATTGCAGCCCTGTGGCAGGGCCCCACAAACCTGATGGGTTTTTGGCACAAACCTGATGGCAAAGATGTGCAGAAAGTGGCAGCTGGGAACCAGGCCCAGTGGCATCCAGTGCAGGGGCTCTGAGACTGGACTGCAGGCTAGCAGACTTCACTTCCCTCCTTTGTGGCAGTACTTTTGAGTGGTACAGTCTTGCTAGTTCAATTTCATTAAGCAACTTATGTTTTGCATCCATTCCCATTTCCTAATTGTACTTCTACATGTACCTCTGACTGGCAGCAAGAATTTTATATAGACAAAAATTCTCCCCACTCTTTCTCTTATGAGTGTTCTAAATGCTGCACAGGATTATTTAAAAAATATCTGTGTGAGAAATTGCTAAAGTGAATCACAAAGAGGAGAGTGTATAGGATATTTAAGTTGCAAATCAGCAGAAAGTCTGTGAAACACTTAATGTGCACTTGCTGTTAATTAATCTTGTTTGCTTCCTCTTGTAATTGTCTTGACTTATTTGCACATAACCTCTCTTTCTAGTGATACTTCATGATCCAAACCCTTGAAAATTGGGAGTCATTATCAAGAGCCATTGCTTTGGATAGGTTACAAATGCATAGCCATTTGCAAAGAATTCTCCTCCAATACAGCATTCCTACATTTTATTGATTCACGTGAGGAATAGAAACTTTAGACAGATTGTCAATTTTGTTGCAGTGAAATTTAACAGCTCGATGCACGACCATCTGTTTAGGGGAAAATAAGAATCAAGCTGATGTTAGGGTTTAATGCTATGACAATTCTTTAAATTGTACAGCAATAGTGATGGCAGATTCATCCTTTGAGCAGATTGATCTCTTTTGGAGACGCTGTATAACAGCAAGAATGGACAGAATTATTTGATCTCTTAAGCAGGAAAGACAGGAAACTTGGTACATGAGAAGAAAGGTAGCCAGAGAGAGGCTGCTTAACCACATAGTCAGCAGAAGAGTCAAAGGGAAAATCAGCACATTGGCTTTCCTGCTGAAGGCAAGATAGCAGGCAAGGACAGTAGCTGGTGGACTGTGAAACCAAAGTGCCAGGAGCTGCTACAATTGTACAACAGCTGCTGTGCAGGAAGGGATGCTGCCTTCCTCACTCTCCTTGTGCTTTTGACTAAATCTCTATGCATGTTTTCTGGGATGGGGAGCCTTCTGTGGCAAGTCATCTTTATGTTTTGCTTGTGCAGTATCCAGCATCATGTTCATAACCACTAATGCTTCTAAAAATGATAAATTGAATAATGACAGTACTGTTTGTCTTTATTTTCTCTGCTATTCATTTGGCTTGCTGATCTCTTGCAAAAAATCTTTCTGGCTCCCATTTCAACAAAGAACATGGTCCAGCAGTTAGGCTCAGTGCTAAATCACCTCTGCAGATCCTCATTATACTTCAGTATTAGAAGTGCTAAGAAGCATAGAGGAATTCAGGGTAGCTAAGAAAGTTTTTTCCCAAAGCATCATTTATTTGCAATGATTCTCCAGATGCTTCTTCAGGAAATAGATAGAGGACAGCTAAAATATTTCCCCTTTGTCTATATTATTTTTCCTGTTGTTTTCCTTCATGGAAAAACATGGTTTGGTTAGAAATCAGCATATGGGAATGGTATGGTTAGAAATCAGCATATGAGAATGGGTGCTCAATGTATTATAGCATGTTAAAAGGTGCAAAGGAAAATAAAAGTTAACCAGGGTATTGTTAATATGATGCTCCACCTGCACATTACAACAGTCGAATGCTAAAAGTTAGTGATGTTATCCTTCTATCATTTACTGTCATCAAGGAGCAGCCAAGCCAGTTTATAATTAATGAACATGAATATATATTAATTATGTATTCCTATTCATGAAAAATTATTAAAATATAATGGGATTTCTTGCTGCTTCCTTAAATGAAAAATTATATGAAAGAACTTTCAATTGTTCTAGTCTGAAGCTATCCAGAAATAAAAGCATCCCAGAGAAAGAGAATTCATAATTTTAGGAAATAGTAGTAAAAGAGAAACATACCTTGCAGTACTAAAGACTTTTCTTAGAACTTTTCCTCTGAGTGTAGGTGCTAAATTAATGTTCTATGTTGAAAACAGCTCAACTGCCTGAATACAATGTGCTAATAAGAGCAGACTTCCCCATGCCCCAGGTTGAAATAATCAGGTAAGAATTTTGCAATTACTTTATTACCCATTAGGGGAAAATCTAACTAATAAAGGCTATTAAAATTTCAGAAATTGCTCTTTAAAAGCCAACAGGTCAGTAGAGATCTGAAGGTGGAAGTGCTGATGCTCTAAGAGGAGCCTGGGACTCGACCTTACCTAATGGATGGTTACAGGGATGAACTGGTCTGGGCTGGGAAAGCTGATGATCTCCTGACTGCCCTAAGCTTGAGATTGTGAAACTTCTAATCATGTAAGAAGCAGTAAAGGAAATAGAACCACAACCTTGGCTTGAGAAGGGAAGATGATGGCTTATTTAGGGATCTGTTTGGCAGGATCTCACAGGAGGCTGCCCTGGGAAGCAAAGGGACCCAGGAATGCTAGTTGAGATTCACTGACATCCCCATCAAATAACAAGTCCATTCTGTCATGTGTGTAGTCAGACAAGTGGGGCAGGCAGCCAGCATGCAGGAACAGGCTCTCCTGCTGGAGTTCAGAGTAGGCAAGCACAGAGATGGTGGAGAGTAATTGCACCATGGACCAAAACAGAGACATTACTCTACATTGACTAAAACATGGAAGCATTTACTAAAGACAAAGCTCAGCAAGAGTTAAAGCTCATATGGGACTCAAAGGTGCTTCTGGAAGTACATGGGCAGAAAGAAAAATGGGATCCTGCTCCTCAGGGGCCTGGTGACTTAGTGACACAGGACATGGAAAAAGCTGAGATGCTTCATGTCCTTTTTTTGTCTTTTTTTTTGTAATGGATGAGGTCTAGCCTCAGACACTGAAGCACTGAAGAAAAAGACAGAACAGGCAGCACTTCAGTTGCTTGGACACAGCTAAATCCATGGAGCCAAGCAGGGTGTTTCCCAGGAAGTGGGAGAAGGGGGTGGTGGGAACCTTTAAGGTCAACAAAGACAAACTAAGTCTGGCATCTGGGGTGAAGTTACCTCATTTCAATAGCACAGCCTGAGTTCCAGTAGTCAAAAAGCAGCTTTGCAGGAAAATACCCAGGGGCGCCAGAGGAAAAGCAGCAGAGCATAAGCCAGCCATGGGCTCTCATAGCAGGGAATGCCAATGACACTGTGGGCTGTATTAATATGAGTGTGCTCAGCAGGTTGATGGAAGGGATTGTTCCCCTCTGTTTGGCATGTGTGACACTGCAGCTGGGAGCGAGACAGCATCTGGAGCATCATGTTCAGTTTTGGGCTCCCCAGTGCAAGAATGATACAGACAAACTGGAGCAACTCCAGGTTTTGATGTGCAGCCAAGGCTGCCATCGGTGTTCACAGCCCAGAAAAGTTTATCCCTGTTACTCTGAGTCAAGTAACTCAGTTAAACACATAATTAATGAAGTGAAACACAGCAGTCCATGATATACAGACCATGTAAGATGATCTCCTATTTTGTGAATATTAAAGAAAAAAAGATACAATGGAAAACAGCATACAATCTTTCTTACCCAGAATGAGACTTGAAACAGAAAATCATTTATCATCAGCCTGTGCCTTTAGCACCAATGGAGCAATTTAATGCCTAAATTAAATACTTGGAAAAAAATAGAGATACTAACCATCTTCTAAGTTACTGTTTAGAACAGTAACTTAAATGAATGTTTGCATTGGTGTGTCAGCAAGTGTCAGGCAGCTGGAGGAGACAGCTGGAATGCTGTAGAAGCTTGCCTTCAGTGGGATACAGTTTCCTATCTACTTGTCATGTTAACAATGATACCTTGTGCTTAGAGACACTGCCTAGTTAATTTCTATATATTAAGGCTTTAAATAAAGATTTGTATTCTAAAATCCAATGAAAACATTGAGGCTCATTGTACTAAAATATACTTTATTAATACAAAATATCTTCTGTCATCAATAAACATATAGGTAGGATCTATACAGATATATGTATGTTCTTATACATTAATGTACATATTTATATATTTCTCAGCTCTAATTCTCCTATGACATTTGTGTTATGCTGTAACATGTACAAATTTTTACAATATAACATTAAATGAAGCTCCCCAAATTTTATTATAATAGTTAAACATATCAACTAGTTGTTTTCCTCTGTCTACAGACTTCAGCATCTTTTCCTAATTGAGAAGTTGTCAATTTGTGAGCTTCTCCTCATTCCTCTGAAAGATGTCACCCACATCTCACTTCTGTCTTCTGTCAAAACCTTCTACCCAGTTATAGAAAGGCTTAAATTCAGTGAGGATGCAGCATTCAGCTCAGGAACAGGCACCTGACAAACTCTCTTTATCTCTGCCACTAATCCTACCACACTTTTAATTTCCATCCCTTAAATCAGCATAGGGACCTTCTTTGCTTCCTCTAGGTGGACACTGCAAAAATAAAGATACAGATGATCCCTTTCTCACAGGCTGCCTTGTCTCAGACTCTTCAGGTCTGTTGTACAATAAACTCTGGTGCCTGCTACAAATTTCATCCTCCCATGATACTATAGTTGGAGTTTCTTAACAGACTAAACTCAAATTCAAGGCTCCAAGTTCTAAAAGCCCAGAGCATCAATGATGGACATCACCACCCCACTCTGAAGGCCTGAAGTAATTTAGTATTTTCTCAAAAAATCCAGGTGTGCCAGTTTTGAATTGGCAATTCTTTTGCATTCTGCCAGGGCTGCAATTCCTCATCTCTCCTGCTGCAGTCTTAAAGTTTACTCTGCCTCTTACATGGGCCACTGAAGCTGCTCTAGCTGGGCATCTTCTCAGCTACTTGAAAGTTTCTGCTGGCAGTAGATTCTTTCTCTTTTCTCCACTACTGCTGGAAATAATGCCTGGCCTGCCATGAGGTAACAGCCGGAGCCAGACCTGGAGCTTATGAAAGCCCTGTATTCACCTATCTGCAATATATATTTTCTCTGTATCTATATAAATATCCTGGATATAAATCCTGGATATAAATGACATACCATGGCATTTAGCAGAAGTAATTTAAATGTGGAATTAGAAAAATTATTACATTTTCTAAAGCAATGCAAATGAGTAACAGGTTTATTTAAACTGCAGATATCAATTAAACTAAAAAGAAATAATTTAACACCTATAATAGATTCAGTGAAAATCAGCTGATAACAAAAGAGCTACTGGCTATTGACAGCACTTTGTAAGCTATCTGTTCTTTGGGAAGGCAATAAACTGCTTAGTAATTACTAGAATATGTGACTTTGCCGGGTGGTCTCCAGGGAGGACTCATTTCATTCCCATGGACAGCCTGCAACTTCTTTTGGTTCTTCTCAAGCTGTTCTCTCCTCATTTTGTTTTCCTGAGAATAAAAGGATGTGTGAAAAAAAGCCCAAACCAAAACCAACCCACTGCCCCTCAACAACAATTATACTAACAGAAAAGTTACATTATTGTTATGCCTTTCTTGTGTAAAATGAAAAGAAAACATGCAATGGAGGTTTGCCTTTTGGAGCTCAGCACATCCCTTTTGCAGGTTCAGTCACGGACTTTGCACAATGCAACCAATGAAAGAGGCTGCACATTGGGTGTCACTTACAATTAGGGTGTCTGTCTCAAGGTTAGGCTGGGTTTGTGCACTGTCTAAACAAAAAGCCCAACAGAAAGCCTACTGGACTAGGTATTGGTCTTGTATGTAATTAGTCTCATATTAATTACTTCTTGTCTTTAGGAGGATACCTAAATCACAATGCAAAATATGTGGTTCTCATATAATGAGAACACTGATGCATCATTGTAACTTTCTGTACTTATTAAATCACACTTGCCATGTATTAGAATAAACTGGTAATTAAACAATTTAATTTTAAACAAAGATCTATCTAATTTATGTTATAAGCACTGCAAGGTTCCAATTCTATTTTCTGTTATTTCAAACAGCAATGGGGCAATTAGGATGATGAGGATTGCAAGGTACTTGCTACACTCTTTTAGTGTCTCATTAACTAATGATTTTCAAGAGACCTGTCATTCAAAAATTAAGTTGCAATTATTTATAATAATTTTTGAATTTCTAATCAGTTCTATTCTACATAAGCATTCTTCTTTGCAAAGATGACTGCCATTTCACCCTCAAGAGAACCAGCATCTAAAGGTGCATCTGCATTAGCAGTTTAGTACATTGACAAGCTTTCTATGGGTGCAAGTTTTCCTTGCAGGTTTGTGGTGCATATGAGTGCAGACTTCTTACTGACTTAAAAGTAGTTTCTTTCTTGGTGGAACCAAGATTGGCCATATAGACCACAGCACAATTTACAGTGCCCCTGTGATGGGTGGATAAGAGGTCCTTGAGCAACTGCCTTTCTCACACATGAACAGTACATTCATTCCCAAGACCAAAACCTGGCAAACACATCCCTGGTAGTAAAGATGCAATGTGGATATGCCCACTTAAAACCATCATCAGCTGTGCCACATCCAACCCTGGTTCTTTCATTGTTGGCAGCAATGCAAATGAATAACTGAATAAATGAATAAAAATGAATAATGCATCAGCCAGCATTTTTAAGCATCCATAGTTTTGTATTTTCACATGTATGAACTGCACTGCAGTGGAAGTACTGCTCCTTGAGGACAGCTATAAGATAACTGGTACTCTCATATAACCCATGACCCTCTTCCTCTGATGGATGCCATATATCCACAAACTCCCAAAATGCTGGCAGTGTTTGTCTGTTACTCCTATGTGAGCAGAGCAATAGTGAGGTAACTGTGGCTGAGGGAGTAGACTGAAAAAGGGGTGTGGAAGCATTACTGTAAGAAAGTGAGCTTGAGTAAAGTTTTCTCCTGTTTTACACATATATGTGTCCAAAAATTGTAGAATGCAAAGCAACACACTGAAATATCAGCCCTATCAATACAATTTTAATCTGTGCCCTTCAGCTCTTTGTCAACATAAACCTGAAGATCCAATTCAGTTAGGAACATCTGGTCTGGCTAAACAAACACACAATAATTTCATGTCATTACTAGTAAGGCTGATTAAAAGCAAGGCAAGGATTGCATGGAAAAGGAATGCCCTTTGCCAAAATAGGCAATACAAAAGTTCATCACAGTCTAATAAAAAATACTCTCTCTCTGTAAAAACTCTATTTTTCTGATCACATGGAGCAATTGAGACAAACTAGGCTTGCAGCATTGTGACATTCTGACTCTTCTCATCCCTCATTTTTGCCTTCTTTCTCCCTCCCCAGAGATTTCATCAGATGAACACAACTAGTGGCTTTGGGTCTTTAGAACAAATTCAAGATATTCTAAAATTGTTCAAGGGAACTGTTTAGTACCCTAAGAGAAAATTAGTCTTCATTATAAGTGATATTTTTCAAAAAAAGATATGTGAAGCAGTACAGATGAGCTTGGGAAGAACATGCTCTAAAGGAATACATATATAATAGATGCTCATGTATCTATAATCATAGAATTATACTGTACAAAGATATGTATACCATCAGGACAGGTAAGTGAAAACTCATTAAAAGTAACACTTATTGCAGCAGTATTGCAAGCATTAGAGAAATTGCATGCTACAAAGAAATGTGCATATTTAATATTTATTGAGCACACTCTACTGAATAGATGTTACACAACAGACTCATGTATGAAAAACCACAACCAAAAATAAAGCATAAACCCACCCAGGAAAGGTACAAAAGTTGCTTTGGTTTTTTTAACTGTGCTTCAGTTTTGAATGTTTGGGTTTGAGATCCAGTTTACATTAATGAATCCAAGTGGCAAGGAAAGAGTCTTAAATTAATCTAAGTGTTTTTAAAATATTAAATTCAAAGTGAAGATCTACTGGCCTCCTCTCCCTGTTTTCAACACACACAAAGTTTTTATGTTCTTGTAACTACAGTGCAAATTCTCACAAGACATAACTGATATAAATATAGAATAATAAACAAGATGTTATTTGCACTAATTGAAGTAGAGTAACAGAAACAATGAAAGGTTAAATCAGAACTTTAGCTTGTCTTGCACTAGATCAAGTCAACTGTATGGCTTGATTTCTGTGGAAGTTTCCTACTCAATAGCCTAGTAAGATGAATATATTTTCACTTATAAAATTCTGGGAAGAGCACATTCTTTAGCAGTATGACTGGCACATAGAAATTGAATTTTAGACATTACAGAAGACTGACAACATTTGAGAGGAGTAACAATAGCAGTCTTATTTCTAACCTATTGCAATGACAGGCCATGAAAATTGCAATTTAGAAAGAATTTTCAGAGATCATATGAAATTAATGAATACATGAAATTAACAACCCACTTCAGCTATTTCTAACCCTGAAAAGCAAGAAATCCATGGGACTTATCCAGTATATCCTTTCTTGATGTTTTTAAACAGCTTTAGAATGCCAAAAATAGATATTGCAAATGCTCAAATTCAAGGTAAAATGTCAAACTTCTTCTAAGACTTTCAACATTACTGTGCTGGTCTTTGATAACTATTTGAGAGCAGCCTTACTTCTCAGAAGCTCATGGTAGGTTGATGTTTTTACAGAAAATGGACAACATTAACTTATCTAGAGATGATACTCACTTCTATCCACAGTAAACAAGTATCAAGATTAGTATCTCAGAAATAATGGAAACTAAAGTGATGGGTCATTATCAACTTTCTACGTGATTCTTGTCCACATTCCACTCCTCAGAACAGGTGCATGTCAATGACCAGTGTCAGACACTGGCATTATGCAGTAAGTAAAAAATGATCATTTATCAAGATAGATTGGCTTGAAGAGCTCTTGGTGAGTAGCAAGAAGCAAATGATAGGAAGAAACAAAATAATCAGAAGCTTGAATTTCCAGCTTCTAAAGCATCTCATCTCAAGATTATCCTATTTATGCCAGTATTTTACAAGTGTTAATAGCCTTTTCCAGGGCATTTATTTCCAGGCTTAAAAAGTAATCTTCTCTATGCTCTTATGCTATCAAACATTCACACAATGACCTCTAAAAGCAGAAGTAACAGAATTGCCATTAACATAAAAGCAGAATGTTTCTTCTATTTTAGCAGAACTACAATGAGATTTCTATGTCTGTTTTATCCATGCATTATGGTCAACACCTGCTTCAGGAAAGCTGAGGATGAATGTACACATTTCTTTCTGCTGAATGTTAATGAAAACATATTCAAATACTTCCCACTATATCACTACTATTTTTATTGCCATTTAAAAATAATTTTAGTTGAAAGAATACTTTTAAAAGGCTTCCAAATTCTGCCCTCAGACCTGATGCATATCCACCTGCAGGCAGATGTCACCTGAGTTCCCTTGGTAATGCAATGACAACTTTACAGTGTTTCTCTTGGGCAGTTCACTATTGGTCTGTATTTTTTTCTGCAAGTGTACAAAGTGAGGCAATATTCTGGCCTAAAATTATGACAGAGCCATTTTCCAATGTGCTTTCTCAAATAAAGATGTGTAAGTTGCAAAAAGACAGCACAAATTCTGAAAGTAAAAAATGTGAAGACTGGGCACGAGACACATCAGTCAACACTTGCACACTGACACTGAAAATGGGATCATTTTAGAGGCACCTCTGCCAACCAGTTCAGTACTTATCCCATCCTATGCTTGCTTATTTCACATGTATATCTAGTTAGATCTGGTCATTCCTCCAACTACTAAAATTTTCATTAATAATCCCACTGAAGTGATCGCCTCAGGAATTCACACACAATTTGAATGGGAGAGCCTGTGCTAGGCAGCAACCTTCACTCCTAAAAAAAAGGGATTTTTTTTTTTTACCTTCCTACAGAATCCAGGACAGGAAGGAATTCAAATGTACAATGAGAAGTAATATTCTTGCTTTGGTACAACTAAGTTGATTAGGATAGTCTCAGTGAGCAGATCATAGCAGGCCAGTGGATTAGCTACTGCTCAAAGCATAGTACTCCCTACCTTGGCAATCAGGAGTATTGTTCAAGCATGAACTCAACTAAGATCAGACATTAATCATTTGCTAAACTGAGCTGAAAATCTCCTGACAATGGGGACCAGAAAAAAACCTTATCAGTGATTACAGAAATAAGAGGTATTTCAACAGGGCACCAGGTCAAACATCTTAAAAGATATAAACCTAAGATTAAAAAAGTTTGGAAACAGAGAGAAGGGAAAAATGTGCAGGCTTTTGCTGTTTTGTGCAACTGTGTATTTCTGAGTTAGCCAAGTAAAGAATCTGCATCTGTGACCAATTAAGTAAATTGTCCTCTCTAAACCTGTCCCACACCTGTACAGCTGCCTGACTCAGTTTTCATCTAACTGCCTCTCTCTCCTAAAAAAAAAAAAAAAAAGAAAAAAACATTAAGCTAATGACACTAAAGAAGAATTCTTGTAAGGACCATAATCCAGCTTGGTTGCAAGATCTTATTCTTAAAAACGGCAACAGAGACCATATGTACAAGGCATGCCAGAAATCACATGTAAGAACAGAATAAACACTTTCTTACTAAAAAAAACTCGACAGTCAGTATGGAGGAAGACTGTCACAGGGTGGGGAATTAAAACAGGTTCTTCTTTAACTGACAAGTCACACATCTTTAAGAAAACAACATGCTAAGAATATTAGTGATCTCTCTTCGAGTTTGTCCTTCTGCAGCAAGGAAAAATAACCTGCCTTATTGTTGGTACTAGAGCACTGGATTAATTTACTGCTTTAAAACAGGGACACTGCTGTGAGAAAAATATAATTGGTAGCATCAGAGTTCCACCCTTTCTCATAAGTGGAAATCATCATGAACTCCATTAAAAGTCCTTTTATCAATTGTGAGGTCCTCAAGTCTCCATTTTCAATGCTTCCTTGAATGTACATGCACTGACTGTTGCAGCTGGCAGTGCTTTTTGACTTTGCAGGTTTTATGCTCTGGCTAACTGGCCCTTCAGAGACGGTTGCTCCTGACATGAAATGGCAAAAAATGAAGCCTTATGGAAACTGAAAACTCTGTGTAGGTAGGGAGAATGTATTTTCCATGTATGCCAGCTATCAAGTGCACTGTACTTTAGCAACATTTTGCTCACACATTCAAGGGGGACAAGCAACGTAATGTTGCCATCGTCTGGCCTCTCTCGTAACAGCACAACACCCCACGAGTATTACAATACTCAAGTGCTCACACTACACCAAATGTTTTGGCTTTGACAAGAGGCAAAAAAAAACCCCAAACCCAACCAAACATACCAGCCATCTTTCATATTCCTCCATAGCCTTTTCACTTTTTTCTTCCTTCTTTGCCTGTTGCATTTCTCGCTTTTTTTTCTCCAGGAACTTTTCTACTTTTTTCTTTTTGATATATTCTTTCTTCTTTTCATTCCTGTGTAGTGAGAGGGAAGAGCAAGAGGTCATAATGTACAGACCAAAAGCTGCATCTGTGACCAATTAAATAAATTGAGTCAAAATATGTATTATACACTTTAAATTGAGAATATGTATTTAAAATCTTCCATGTCCATTTTTATACATCACCAAGGTATAAATGAATCTACTACTCTACCTATTATGGCATCACCTTTTCTGTACTTTGTTCTCCCTTTTTTAGAATAATAAAAAAAAACACTCTGAACTTCTGTACATAAAAGTAAGTTGTGCATTTTTTGTGAAAATTCTTGGCTTATAAAAGTAATAAAGAATATCTCCAGCAGATACATCTCATTTCCTTCTTCCTACATCTGCATTCCCATACTGTATTCCATGAAACTTTTAAAGATTTACCTTCCTTCCTATGGCTTAGTAATGAAGCATGAAAATAATCATGTAAGACACAATCCTACTACACAGTGAATTTTATCATTTGCAGTATCTCTGCCTGGGCTTAGTTAATATCCTCTTGGGGAGGAAAGTAACTAAATTAATAAACCGAAGGGAGCTGCACAGCTGGTTTGCACTGTTAGACTTTGTCTCCAGTGGGAATGAAGCCTCTGATCCCAAGCAATCCATTGTCTTCCAATTACAAGCACATCAAGCATTCACAGAAGACCTATTACATTTATAAGCAAGGATTTTGGAAGCTATGATATAGCAAACACAGTGGAGAAGTACCATTTTTCAACTGCTGATACACTGACTCTCCTCTTCTCTGCAACTAGGTCCTCTTCTATCTTCTTCCTCATTCTTTCAGATTGTTTTTCCTTCCTGTTTTGCTCTCTTAAATATTCCACTTTTCTTTCTTTCCATTTTTTGAATGCCTAAAGACAACCATAGATCCATAAAAAAATCTTACCTCTCATCTTTCTGTCAATACTCCACTAGTCTAATCTGCATTATTATTTTTTGTAATTTCTACACATTCTAATTTTAGAATATTTGCTTGCAGAATTGCTCAGAAGTGGGTATCACTGTATCTAAAAAGAATCTTATTTTTCCAGTAGGTAATAGTTAATTGCTAATGTATTTGTATGAGGTTTATTTTATGCTTAGTTAATAGACTCCAAATATAGAAACCTGTTTTTCTGCAAGTGTAAACGTTACACATTTCTTACATAACAAAACATAATACAAGCTTCTTTCAAAAACTAAGCATGTCTAGGTCTTTAGATTCTAGTTCATTCCATCTCATTCTAGATGGAAATGTCTAGATTTTAAGATTCTAGTTCATTTCCATCTCATTCTGGATTAATCCAAAGTATTTTTACCAGCTCCTGAACCACTTTCAAATATACACTTAGGTACATATTCCACATCACCGCTTGTGCTGCTTCTGTTTTTTCCTTATTCTGTTCTGCTGGTTTCTTTTCCTCAAGTTCCTCATGCTTTTTTCTTTCACTCAACTTTCTTGCTTCTTTCTCTTTCTTTTTTTTCCAGGCTTCATAACAGGCAATTGCTTCTTCTCTTTTAAGTGCCTCTTTCTAGATTGGAAATAAAAGTCTACATTTAAATCAATTTCAGTTTGAAATTTTAAGTGAAATAGTAAGCTATAAACTTATTGCTAAATAGAGCAATAAAGAAACAGACATTGATTTGCTGACAACATTGCAAGTATTACAATTAAATTTTAAGCATATATAGGGTTATTTTCTATGTCCATTTTTAATTTACTTAAATGAGACTAACTGCTTCCACAAAATATGTGTAGAAGGATATGAAATGCATGCTAAGTGCTTAGAAGTGAAACATATTAAATAGTTAAAAGCCAAATCAAAAAATGTGCATGATACTATTCAAGCCAGAGCCCTCTCTACATAAGCATCTCTTGAGGCAGGGAGTGAATGCATATTCTCATGCACAAAACAAAACTTGGCACCTTAAGAGTTAAGCATCCCAAGGTCTTTGTAAACTAACTCAAAAATTAATCTGGGAAGCACATTTCTAACACACCTTATGTAAATGTGTAGGGAATCATTGGACAGACACTGCTTACCACAACCCTAATGAGCAGGACATGCCATTTATTATTTCACATCACCTTGTGCTATTTGGAGAAAACCAGATACCTCACAACAGCAGAGGGATGCATTCAGGCCGGAAGAACACTTCAAAGAGTCATAGTTTGTCAAACTCTTTTTAAACAACAATGTAAACCAACCTTTTCAGTATTGTTCCTTAGAATTTCAGCTTTTTCTTTTTCACTTCTCTTTAATTCCAGTAAAAGGAGCTTTTTCCTTTCCAACCAGTTCTGTAAGAATCATTAAAATATTTTTAAAGTCCTTTTAAGGTATAAGTAAAGAACAGCACCAATATAATGACCACCAAAATTACTCTCAGTTTTTCCAAGTTAAATATGCATCCCATGTAGAAAACTAAGATGTCAAACATTGTGATCAAAAAAAATTTAAGGTTCTAAAATCACAGCTACAAAATCTAAAAAAGCTCAAAGATCTTTTAAAAAGCATCTTCCTAGAAATGCCAACAAAAATGTCAGCACTAATCAAAATTAAATAGAAGAATGTAATAAAGGTTCTTATTATTTGGTATATAGGAATATTATTTACATTTGTTGTCTCTCTTGAAAATACATACAATAAAAGAGAATAAAATCCTGCTGGGAGAAGTGAGACTTCAGGCAGCCATAAAAGGTTATGAGCCATCTGCAGAATCAGGCTTAAATTTTCAACAATTAACGGTACATTTGGTATGCAACTCAAAGATAATAGTGTCCTAAATGAAAACTATTCTACTCTCAAAGACTGTGAATACAATATAAATATGGATTTGAGGGTCTAACATTTGTTTTAGGACCATAACAAGTATTAAAACCACATACCAATATAAATGGTGCCTGTTAATGAGAGTTGTTCTCAAACAGATTAGCAAAAATTTGTTTAAACCCAAAAAATAATTGTTGTGAAATTCTAATTCTACAAGGAATTTACGTATAGTATTCTTCTGGAAAGAGTACAAGATTTGTTATCACTTTTCCTGAATGCCATTTGAATAGAACATATCAGGGAAATAACCAAAGAACTGTAAGTAGACACTTACTTATATTAAGGATGAAGTAGAAATAATGGAAAATATGTGCCTGAAAATAGTCTGAAACAATAAAGTATAAACCACATAACAACATTATGTCCCTTTCATTGAGCTTTTTGTTCATAATATGAGGAAAAGGCATAGGCAACAGAATAAAAGGATTACTATACCTGTAAGTCAATAAAAGGAATAGTAAAAATTAGTAAATAGTAAAAATTATTGATTTCAAGAAAAAATGAGGTCTTGAGCCCTGTATCAGGACCTTTATGTGCACAATTTTTTTTGTTGGTTTGGTTTGTTCATTTTTTAAGTCTACCTGATAAACAGCTGCCCTTAAATTATCTACTTTGTTGAATGCTGGACTTTGTTTCTGCATGCATTTATCCTCCAACATCTTCAATGATCCCAGATACTGAGATGAAACAGGTGAAGTTGATGGAACAGCTTTCCCCTTTCTCTTTAAATGCACAGAAGTTGTAGACCTAGGGAAATACCAGGACACAAATACATTAATGACCTTTCCTTTTACTGTAGCACATACAGTAGTACGAGCTGGGTATGAGTAGTGTTCCTCTTATTTCATTGTATACCAAAAGTTAATGTGACTTTTATATGCACTTGGCTGGAGACTGGGGAAAGGAAAAGGAGAAAGAATTTACTTCTTGTGAATTTACAAATTACTTACACTTTCATCTAAGAAACAGCTTAGAGCCTGTAAAGACTCCAGTGACACACTCATCACAGACACTGGCAAAAGATCTGGCAGTCTGATCGGACACAAACCTGAGCAAGGGTCATAACAACATGCCACATGCACTCAACTGTTTTCCACAGATGGTCAGAGGTTGTCAGCAGCAAAGATAATGCTGACAGAAAATGAGAGGGGAGCAGCATTGTCGGGGCGCTTACAGGCATCTTAAATGGCTCAGAACAACGTTTGGCATTCTCCTCTTACCTGTCAGATAAAGAACCCTTTGGGGTTTTTAGAACTCTCTCCTTTGTTTCACTTAGTTTCTAAAAAACACAGAGGGAAAGTAAAGTTATACAGTCTCTTAAGCAACAGATCAGGATGAAACAGGTTTTTACAAGATAACAAGGGCACTGAAATTGGACTCAGCCTTTATGAGTCTCTTCCAAGTCAAGCTATTCCATGGTCTCATGATGTTATAAAAACAGGCAAGAAAGACCCCCTAATAAAGAGAGGGTATAGTATAGAGAAAGGAAGTAAGGAGAGAAAAAACCCCAAAAAACAAAACAAAGAAAGCCCCTAAACCAACCAACCAACCAACCAACCAACCAACCAACCAACCAACCAACTAATCAACCATTCAGAATGCCTGTATCACTTTGGAATGGCAGCTAGGAATGTTCATTTGTGTTATGTAAAAATACAGTCAATAGTTTAGAAATAATAAAAAGTAAAAAGAACACAGATGGTTTATTCTATAAACACTCTTTTAAGTCTTTTGAATACTTAGCTTTAATAATTACATGTAGCTACATATTTTCTTTTTAGGATAAAGAGTAGAGTCCTCTGCATCCTATCCATTATTCAGGTCACACATGGATTCCATCCTCTGCCAACACACATTGCTCACTGCTATTCAGCTATCCTCACAACAGACATCTGACATTTTCACTTTGAAAAGGGTACTTTCTTAAGGCTGGAAAACACATTTCAATACCTTTATCTGACTTGAATAATTTTTGGAAAAGGTATTCCTTACATCTTTCATAAAGCTATACAGAATTTACAAGAGCCTCGTCTCTAGAAACCAGATCTAAATTGTCAGCTTTATACACTTAATATACCAACAGCAACATTACTAAACTCCATTGTGCTTCCAGGACATTGTTCCAAACAATGGTAAACTGTGGATGAGCAATACCTTGATAGAGTTCTTGTTTTTTGCCTCCCCATGCTCAGATTGATCATTCACTGACACCTCCTGCATAGCATCAGCTATTTTTTGCTCTTCTGTTATTTTCATCATTCCATCTGAACTGTCAACAGAAGGGGATTTCATACCATTGTCCTCCAGTTTCAAGTCGCTGGTGTTGACAGTCTTCTGATCTTTCTCTAAAGGGAGAAAAAAGATTGAGAGGACACATTAAAAAGAACTTCATTGTTTTTGAGTATTGTTTTTTTCTGCACAAAATGTAGTTGTAGAAAAACCATCCATCTATGAAAGTTGTTACTAAATTTTCTATAGTATAATGCATTTTCTGTATGCCTCCTTCTGAGAACTATATACGAATAAGAGCAGTATTCACTTGTATTTTCATGTAAGACTGGAGTAGCAACTGAAGCTTGAATGTTAGAGAATGTAGGAGCAAGACAAGGGGAAAACTTTCCATCTCCCTTACATGGCTCTAGTGCAGAAACCAAAAGCAAGAGTCAATGCAGTCACAGCAAGAGCTCTTCTGACATCTAGCATACTTCTAATGAAGTATGCCAGCTAACACTCTGGGTAAAAAATCATGCTTTCATTGTGTAGTGTTCTTCAGGGGTGTGGGACACATGAAGGAATTACTGAAAAATTCCACAGTGGGGATTCAAAGAAAACACCTCAATCTGTATAAATACCTAAATGGTGAAACCGTTATTTACAAAACACATTATTAGTTAGACTTAAAAACCATTTTCATCAGATTTCAACTTCCAGTAATGCAGAGATCTAAATCTGTAAAACAATTCAGACAGAAACCAAAAAATGACCAAGTAAAATCAATTTAGAAATAGTTTACAAATTTCCGACAGAATTCTTTAGAAAAATTGATTTTCTGGATGACAAATTAACTCCAAATTACCTAAAGAAAGGAACATCAATGCCCATAATGGAAGAAATTTACCCTAAATTGACAGTGATGAAGGTACGTTCAAGGTGACAAGAATTCTGAATTTCCTGAATTTTAACCAATATTGCAGTGTGTCACTGCACTACTTTAATTCACATCAAGAAAAGGAGTAGTTCAACTTCTTTTCTGCCAGTCTAAAACTACACAGGCACACCAGTCAGGAAGGAGAGGCATCTGCACATTCAAATGCCTTTGATGGCACTTTGGTGCCATCATGTGGAAAGGAAAAATTAAGCTGATACCTTTAAATCATGCTCTACCAATTTCAAAGTTGCAATCTTCCATCACAGGCAATGACCAGCCATAAACTTATCTCAACATCAAACAGGACAAATTCCTCTCATATTACGAATTCCATAAAAAATAGTAAGTCTTTTGACACATATAGATTGATTAGCAGAATTCCAAATTCCGCATTGCATATTAAAAATGAATTAGCTATTCTTATACTGAAGGATTCAAGTTTGGGGGGGTTTATGTGTTTGACTAGACATCCAAACTGTGTCAGTGGACACTATGTGAATGCAGCTTTCTGTGCCAGGCACACACTGAGGGGGCATCTTGGTAGCCCCCTCATGCCTTCCATGCACATGCACCAATGGAGAGCTGGACTTTAGGGACCTAAACAGCTGTTTCTCATCTTCTCAAAGGAAAGGGCAAACAGCAACCTCCTGCTTTTGGCCCACACTGGTTCAATTTACCCCCTGACATACAGACTTTATGTATCTTTAGAAGATGATTGTTAACATAGAAAATAACCCAAATTAAAACACTTTAAAATACTGTAAAATGGCTAAGCAGCAACAACATTAAAATATTTTCTTTTCACCTGGTGCTGAAGCATTTTGTTTTTTGCGCATCTGAGGCTTTGCTTTTGGTTGGTTTTCCTCTTGACTTCTTTTTTCATGTAGTTTGTTAATAGGCAAGTCATCACTTTCACTATTATCACGCAGTACTTCTTCATTATTTTTTCTGTTGTTATCCTCATTTTGACCTTCCAAACATCCTTCTTCATCATCTTTTCTGTCATTCTGTATGGTCTCACCTTCTAAAACCATTATTTGCTGAAGCTTCTTTTCATGAAAGGATAAATTCAAGTCATCAGCAGCTTCATTTTCCAAATCTACTACTTTTTGTAAAGCATCATCATTCAAGAGAGGACTCCCAGCAAGAGATCTCTCAGTGCTTGTAGAACCTGAATTACTTTCAGCACGTTCTTCCCCAATATCTGCAAAGAGCACATTACCAACTTGTATTTGATACAAGTGGAAAAAAATGCAACACAGAACCTGTATCTTCTATAACTTAACGCTATTTTTCATGTAACACCCTCCTGACTTAAGTTTCTGAGCATTTCTCTTTCTGAGCCTCTGATCTCTGCAAAGCCACCAAACTACAGACTTATTCTACTTCCTTTCCTGTCATCTATTTTCATGAACCCAATCCAAAGAAAAATATTCACTCATTTATTATTTTCTGCCATGCAATTTAAAGTCCTTCTGAAAAAATATGTGTTGATGCTATAGAAAATGGAAGCAAGTCATCAACAACAAAGCTGGGCACGTTTAGTATTGGAACCCATCCTCCCTTCCCTTCTCTTCACTTCTGCCCCATTTAAAGTCTACTAGCAGATACTCAAAAGGAAGTATCTTCTACAATGCCAAGATTCACGTTTACCAAACTTATTTATCTTCTTCTAGCCTGTTATTGCTAATTGACCTAATTTTGGAGCTTGAATGCTTGAACAAGTTGACAAAAGAATGTCATGATAGTGGAATAATGCATTTACTGCTGGAGAGATTTTTTTCTAATTATTATCCACAAATGGAAATCAAAGCATCCCACAAACTGTTAAAAAATGTTTCAGGTGAGAATGAAAAACAGACTGCAGAGGAAGTCCTTTTAAAAATACATGATCATATTTAATATTCCTACTTTCCTTAACATTTAGTGCCATACCAGCAGGAAGAAGAGTCTTTTGGCCAATCTTGTTAGACTAAGCATAAACATTAGCAAACATCAAATGCATCCTGCTCCAAGAAAAACAGACAGATCAAACTTATTTCTGGTTTACATAGTCTGCCAGGGAAGTCTGTCCTGCAGCCCTTATTCACTGATTGTCCAGACTGGGAAACCAGTAAGAAAAAAACACTGCCTTTTTCTCTGCCCATGTCCACTTTCATTTACAGTACTGTGAACTACTGTCTGATCCAGGTGTCAAGTAAACAAGATGACTATGGAGGAGAACTGGGGACCACAATGGTAGGGACCAGTACAGGCTGTGTGTGGTCTAGCAGGCTGGCACATCTGCTGATTTCATTGGGAATTCTGCTGGTAACTTGGCAGAGAGGGACAGTGCTTTAGAAGTTGTTAAAATATGAAATCTTGGAACACTAAATTATATCGACACATAAAGATTGTCTAGGATCTAGTAATGAGTTAAGAAAGGAAAAACACAAGGAAAAATATTTAATTTTGTTTTACCATTTAACATGCCATCTTCATCACTTTCAAAGTCGTCTGGATATTCATCTTTTTCCTTGCTTGTTGCATGATCAGAAATTGCCTCCTGTAGCTCATCCTGAAATGGCTTCACAAATAACTTTTACAAAAAAGGGAGATTCACTTACTCAAGTTCAGCACTAATTCTCCCCTCCCACACATATGTAAGCAAAACTGAGATAAGCCTATTTAATTGACAATTATGCTGAAGCATAGTGCATCCATTCTATCTCCATTCCCCTAGCATATCTGAATCAAAAAAAGTCCCCGAATCTCCATGTATTTATTTATATTTCTTCATCATAAGAAACCTATCTTGCAAATCCCTTTTTAATTTTTGGGCACTTATGATGTATCATCATGTGACACTTCTCCTCTTTTGTATGTTTTGATCGGGAAGAACACAAGAGGAGGGTCTATGAGAACAGGTGCCGCACGACAGGAGCCTGAAGCAGGTGGCAGATCCAAACCAATGGAAGAACTCCACATATTTTGGACTCTCTGCTGCTGCAGGACATCACGGACACAATAGATTTACATGATTCTGAAGGGCACTGGCCTTAATTACAGATTGTAAACCCATGAAGAAATGCACCAGTATCTCGATATTCCGGACCTCCGGCTGCTCCTCCAGCGCGGCTGTCAGGGACGGGGCAGCGGGGCTGCTCCCAGCCTAGGCACGGGCCGCAGCTCCCGGTGTCCTCACCGCGGGTAGCCTGCTTCCCGCTTCCATTTCCAAAGCAACGCGGATTTTTGTGCGTGTGCTGCCTGTACCGGCGAATTAACGTATTCCCAATGGCAGCAACCTGCTCGCAGGCCCCGTTCCCCAGCGCCGGCTTGCCCCTGCCCCTGCCCCTGCTCCTGCCCTGCCCCGGCCCCCGCCGCTCACCTGCAGCCCGCAGTCGGCGGTGCCTCCCCCCGCCATGGCGGAGGTGTTTCGCTGCCGCCTCTCAGTGCCCGCGGCCGCCGCCGTGTCCTCCGAGAGCCCTGGCAAAGAACCTCGGGAAAAATACCCGGCGGAGAGCCCCGGGAAGGAGCCCTGGGAAAGAGCCCCAGGAAGAAGCCCCGGGAAAGAGCCGCGGGCCGGGCCGGGCCGCTCCCGCTCGGTCGCCCGGCAACGGCCGCGCCGGCGATCGCCTTCATTAGTCGGGATTCGCCTCACGTCGCGGCAGTGCCACTTCCTCAGCCGGGCCACAGCCGCGCTACCAGGATTCATTACCGATATCCGTGCTCTGGCAGGATTTATTGTCGATGTCCCTATCCTGCAAATAACCCCGTTCCCACAAGGAGCGCATCCATACATCCATGACACTCGTACCAGGGCTGACACACGTTCGTCAGCCCCACTCTTGCAGTCAGGTAATTGTACAAAACCTTCCTACTTGGGATGTGAGCTCTTTCTGTATGAAATATACTCATTTTAGTGCTTTCTGGAATACAGACCTCATAGCCCCTGTGTGTTAGTTTAAATCAGATTTTAGGCATGGAGAAATTACAGTGGCACAGAAGTAAATCTCCTGGTGCTTACACCTCCTAACACTCCAATTTTTATTTCCCCAAAGAGTGGTTGTGCGATCCACCAGGTGAGCACCAGCCCCCCAGTGACCAGACACTTTGCCAAGCAGCACACATCCCTGCACAGGGACCTAGAGGTGTCCTAGAGGTCACCTGGTGTCCTGGAGGTCACCTGTCCCCTGTGTGGGCCACGATGAAGGCACCCGAATCCCAGGGGGCTCCCAATCCATGCATCAAAGGAAAGCTGTCCACTTCAGGACCATTTACAGGCACAGACATTTCTATTCTTCCCCCGGTTTAAATGCTTCTGATCTTGCCTTTCTAAAATAAGACTAGTGCTCCAGTTGTCTTAGTGATAACAAAGAACTTCTGACATGTTCTCTATACTGGTGTTATATTTATTTATATTAATGTTCCCCAAAATGCATTGCATTTTTGTAAGTTGTGCAGAAGAAAATCTCTCTGACAGAAACAGGGAGAGGATATGTGGGACAGAGCCCAGAGCCTTAGGACTTGTTTTCCTCTTGTTTATTTATGTAGAGTTAGATTTTGAAAGCAATGCAGTTATGCAAAGGCCACAATGCACCTGGGGGGAAAGAGGCCCTGAGTTCTAACAAGTAACCTTGCATTTAAACTAACAATTATTTGCCAGTGATTAATTTATATTTAGGTATCATCTGTAAGCAGATGTTTTCTTTGTTTGCCTATATTTATTTATGGCCAAATAATGCTTGATCTGCTGTCTGCTCATGGCATTTATTGAGAGTTATGCTTGATGTACCCATTTTTTTGCTATATTTTCTTCACATGTGAAAGCCTTAAATTTGAATCTATGCTATTCCAGCTCTCTGTGAAGGTGAAAGGTGAAACTCAACATACTTGTTAAAAATTTTAAAAGGAAGGAAGAAGAAATGCATATATTCTTTCTCTAATAATGTGATTGCTGTTGAGGGCTAAATTATTTATCCGAGTTACAAACCACTGAGATGCACATTTTATTGAATTCCAAAAGGTGGCAGCAAAATATTCTAAAATTGAACAATTGGATCTTTTTTTTTCCAAATGTCCAGTTTATTCTAGTTTCTTTTATATTACTGGCAATTTTTATGGTCTTTTTTGAGAAAGACTATATTCATTTAGTATTGCATACACTGTAGAGAAGGAAGATTTGGTTTGAATTACTGTGTTATTTACATGAGTCAGACAATGAGTCCTCATGTCACCTGTATTATTAAATATTCAAGGCACTGAGTTGGTTGGATGCAGGAAAAAAATATCAATACTGTCAGCACTGCAGAACTCAAAATGTGTGAAGATGTTTTTGTCAAAACACATGAACATCAGGTCTGTATCTTCTAGTCTTACCTGAGGCAAAAATCCCATTGAGACCCAGTGAGGTGGATGGGCCTTTAGCCTAAATATTAATCTAGTGCTCTGGGTATAAGAGACTTACTTAAAAAAAAAAAAACCCTGCACAACAACAAAAACAATAAAAACCCACAAATGAACAAAACACAAGCCCCGACCAACCAAAAAACAAAACCCCAAACATGGAGGTTTATTTAGGACAAAAACCAGAAGATTTTATGGTATGAAAATGAGCATTAACATCTGCTTTTTAATTAGCAACTGACTAATATATCACAAATGTAAACTGTAAAACTTCTTCTCTTAAGTAGACATGGAGCATTGAGAATAAGGCTGTAAATGATCCCAGCAATTATATTAATTTGGATTAAAATAAACTTAGAGGTAACATTTTATTCTGCTGACCAAATGTGTGTGAGTCTCTGCCATGCTCAGAGCCTTAAAAAAAGCACTTTTTAAAACAGGCATCACGATGCAGTGTGATTACCATCTGCTGGAATGATGTTATATTCAGAAAGCAGTCAAGTACGATGAGATTTTTGGATGGCTAGATTATATGCATATAAACAACTTCCTTAAGTGGTTTCTTTTATCAATATGTTTAGAGTTTGTAAGACAGGTTTTTCCTTCTGAACACATGACACATAGATCAAGACAAAATATATAAAACCCCTTACTGGAGGGAAATGTTGTTCTGCTTGCTTAGGTTTTTCCTCCCAAAGTCAAAAGTTACACTTGAAAGGAAATTTAATGCCATGACAAAATCTCTGAATTAGTGTACATTTCTGTAGAAAGTGATTTTTATGTTGGTTGCCAGGGTCTCGGCTCATAAAGGACTATTCCTGTTCTTGACATCAGTGGGAATCAGACATCATCTACAAGTGCTTTTGGCTCTTGGCCCTTGCACACGGATTTTTTTAGCAGAGTGACAAGTAGCTTCAATTCTGAACAACAAAGTGCTCTTCTATCTAGGGGTCACCATCACAGACCTTCTTAAGTACAAACATTACAAATAATTATTATTCTCACATTTTTCTCCCAGTTCATATGAAATAGTCTATTACAACGTGCCATGTTTTGCAGGGCTATGCCTGTAGTGCCAAAATATACTGTTCTTCTTATGCTTGTCTTGAAATAAAACCAGAAGTATAATCAACTTTGAGCATCAGATGGAAATCCCCATTGTCATCAAATTCAACCTCTCACTTTTACATCTTGACTTGTAAGTAGATAGACAAGATGCTGTCAGTGTAAGAAGGTATGCAACCTTGACTTAGTAGATTGTTCTCAGGCATTCAGCCAGGAAAGTTGAATTGAATAAAATTAATACATACAAAAACATAGGAAAACATTGAAGGAACAGACTGTAAAAATGGAGCAAAAAAAAGAATAAACTAGGATGAATAATTTCACAACTACATCACTTACATGGCAGTTTATGAATACATGTGTTCTGGACTGGTTAATTTATTCCTGAGCATTAGACTTAGAAGTAGCAGATGGAGGTAGATATTGCAAAAGAAAAAAAAAATGTATCCTTGACTTTTTAAAGTTATTTTCAGCTTTATTTTTTTAAGCTGTCTTTTTTTGTAAATAGTACTTGATGTGATTTTAAGGAAAAGCATTGGAACACAGAGGAATGAAACAGCTGTCTCAGTGTTGTGCTTGGTCATAGTAACAAGGCAATGAACTTTTCAAACAGACAAAGCTTGTTTGTGTTGGTGGCAGCAGATTAGACTTCCTGTAAGGGGAGTCAGAAAATGCAAACCTTTTCACGTCAAGTGGAGTCATTTTGTGTGCAAATGACTCAAGCTACTGCTGTTGCTTGTATATGGGTACATTCTTTTTAAGTCTTGCAGCTGTGAGCTCCGGTTAAATAAACACCTTTGAGAGAATCCTCGCAGACCTGCAATTGCTTAAAAACATCTCTCACTCTCAAAATATCTCTATGTCTGCTGTTGTATTAATGCTGTCAGGAGAAGCCAACAGCTGTTAAGTGCTGAGCAGTAACTCACTTCAATGCTATGGCACATTTCACAGAGAGAGGAACCACGCTTGTCAGATTATCACCTGCACATTTGAGAAGTGTCAGGACTCCAAGCTGCTGGCACCTGAAAGATCACCAGAGAGCCAGAGACAGGGCCTTGGGTTAAAGACTTGCATAATGTCCTGCAAACTTCCAGCCCCAAGGGACGAGAAGTCTGACATCATAAAAATTAATCAGAGAAAATGGATGCAGCAAAAGGCCAAGTTAAATTGCTTTGTGGTTAGAAAGATTGGCTAGCTAATTCTCACTGACAATAAAAATGGCTTCTTCTGCTCTTTACATCTATATTCCTCCCTTGTCCCCTTTTAATTTTTGGTGCTATTCTAGTTGCAGTATGACAGGAAGATTTAAAGGAGAATAACGCTGCCAGGTCTGATTTTTCTACCATTATCCTAATGAAGATAGAGCTTTACAGTGCAAGTACCTTCAGCAAGTAAAGATGAATGATTACCTTACTCCAGTGTAGCAAAAGAAAGGCCCATTGGAAACACACTGAATGTATCACTTAATCTTTTTAGATTATAATTGACCATACAAGATATTATCTTTTTATATCTTTTGAATGTATTGATTTGTCTATCAGTACGCTTTCCATATCTGAGCACTTCCTAGTCTTGAAGGGAGTTATCAGCTTTCCCTGCTAGGCTGCTGAGACAGAATTATTATTCCCATTTTTTATATGTAAAGAGAAGACTCAGAAGCTGTGCTAGTGACACAAAGGCATGAAAAAATTCTATGGTGGTGTAACTGTGGAGGATTTCTATCATGCCTATTTTGCACTAACTTATACTCTTAACTTATAGTGCAAAACTATAAGTATAGTTTTGCACTAACTTATACTCTTAACCAGTGAAGAAAACTCAGACATCACATGATGAGTTGTACCCATTAGAGGCAGTGATGCAGAAGACACAGAAGAATCTCAAGAACATCAGTGGTATTTCAGTGCTTGATAAAAGGTTCAGGCATTTGCTAACAGCTGCTCTTTGTGGTTCTCTTTTTTTAGTAAAAGAACTGTTGGAGAGCATTTTCTTTTCAGCTTACCCTAGAGACAAGGCAAGATTCTAAGATAACATAGTAGAAAAAGCTATAACATCAGACCCACACCTGAACAAATATATGGACAAGTGTATCATCTAGTTGTGTATTTTCTATTTTTTCTTTAGCTCATAAATGGGTAGGTCACTATTATCTCACAGATTGGAGCCCTGGTTTCCTTAGCTTCAGATTCACTTATTCAGCTGCACCTTTAAAGAGAGTGGTGGGAAGGGAGCACACTTACATACCCTTTCCCCCTTTCTGGGCCATCCAACATGTCCACTGCTCAGGGCCAGGGCTGCAGATTGAGCTCCACACTGGTAACACCAGTTACA